GGAGGAAAGTGGGGACATCTGTAATAGTGTCAATAATTTTAAAAAATTAATTATAAATATTGTGAAAAAAAATGAGAGAAGTTACATGCCTGGAGTGTGACCATCCACCATGACCTGCCCAATTAGGAATTTATGATCAGATCACCCTGTGAGGTTACTTTCTATAGAACCCCCCCTTTTTTTAAAACTCACAGTTATAGCTATAATCATTAACCTTGATTAATAATAGAAATAGGGCCTATTATAACAAAAAATTTCTAAAATATGTGGCATTAGTTTAGTATAGTAGTCATGTAGGAATTAAGGAAGTATATAGTAGGCTGGATAACTGGAGATTCATATTAGGCAGTTGCTACACTGTTACCTACAATACTATAGGAGGCAGATCAGTACAAGTACATAATTTGTAGTGCTAAGGGTAGAGTACAGAAAGCAATATTAATAGTAGGTGTTGGTGACTTTTATAAAAGATTAAAAAAATATATATTTTATTGATTTTTACAGTGAGGAAGGGAGAGGGATAGAGAGTTAGAAACATCGATGAGAGAGAAACATCAATCAGCTGCCTCCTGTACACCCCCTACTGGGGATGTGCCCGCAACCAAGGTACATGCCCTTGACGAATCGAACCCGGGACTCTTCAGTCCGCAGGCCAACGCTCTATCCACTGAGCCAAACCAGTCAGGGCTATAAAAGATTTTTTATTGACTTTTAGAGAGAGAGGGAGGGAGAGAGAAACATCAATGTGAGAGAGAAACTTTGATCTTCTGCCTCCTGCACATCCTCTACTAGGGATTGGGGAATGTGCCTTGACCAGAAATCCAACCAGCAACCTTTCAGTGCATGGGACAACACTCAGCCAACTGAGTCACACTGGCTAGGGCTGTTGGTGACTTTTTAAGTGTGATGTGCAAGGTACTACCAGAAAGAGATTAGCATAGAATAGAATTAACTGGTTTACAAGCAGAAATGAAAGGGAATAGAGAAAGTCCCACGTTTGGGGGCTTTGCAGGGTTGGAAAACACATTACTTCCAAAGAGAGAGATGCCTTTAAAAGGCTTTGAGCAAAAAAGCCCTAGTAGGATTTCAACAAAATGACTCAGCTCTTAGGATAAGATCACATTACACATGGGGTATCTGAGAGTAACTATCTACACTAATAAAAGAGAAACATGGTAATTAGCCTACGACCGCTACCCTTCCCATTGGCTAATCAGCATATCCTTATGCAAATTAACTGTCAGCCAAGATGGCGGCCGGCAGCCATGCACTGAAGCGAACAGGGAGGCTTGCTTGCTCCAGTGATGGCAGACTCCAATGTTCCCCGCCTGATTTGCCGGCCTCTGAGCTGCAACTCTAGGAAACATTGTAACAGATATAGAAGCTAAACAAAACCCCAGAAACCAGCTTTCAGCTGGCGGGGATCTCAGAGCTGGAGTTATACATTGTTTCGATTATAAAACACAAACAAACCAGATACCTGCTTTCAGCAGCGGAAGCCCAGAGCTAGAGCCAGAGCTAAAGCTGGCCCAGAATAAAAAAAAAAGAAAAAAAGGAGCGGTTGGGAGCTTTAGTCAACTGACAGCCTGAAAGCAGCCCTCAGCTCCTCACCCAGACTGGCCAGGCACCCCAGTGGGGACCCCCACCCTGAAAGGTGTGTGACCAGCTGCAAACAGCCATCATCACCTCAATCAGGCTGGCCAGGCACCCCAGTGGGGACCCCCACCCTGATCCAGGACACCCTTCAGGGCAAACCAGCCGGCCCCCAGGCCTCTATCCTATATAGTAAAAGGGTAATATGCCTCCCAGCACCGGGATCAGCGGAGCTGCGAGGCCTCCTGGCACCGGATCAGCGTGACAGGGGGCAGCGCCCAAACCCCCTGATCACCCTGCGGCTCTGTGTGTGACAGGGTGCGGCGCCCCAACCCCCCCTCCCCCCCACAGGCCCTGCTCTGTGTGAGACAGGGTAGAGCCATAACCTCCCCATTGGCCCTGCCCTGAGTGTGAGAGTGGCAGCGCCCCAACCCCCTGATCCGCCCTGCTGTGTGTGTGACAGGGGGCGGTGCCCTAACTCCCCTATCGGCCCTACTCTGTGAGTGACAGGGGGGAGCTCCTTCAACCCCCTGATTGGCACTGCTCTGTGCGTGACAGGGTACGGAGCCTCAACCCCCTCTGATGGGCCCTGCTCTGTGCGTGACAGGGGGCAGCGCTCCAACCCTCTGATTGGCCCCGCTCTGTGCGTCACAGGGGGTGGCGCCGCAACCTCCCCATCGATCCTGCCTTGAGTGTGATAGGGGGCGGGTGCCCCAACTCCCCAATCAGCCCTACCCTGAGCGTGACTGAGGGTGGCATCGCAACCTCCCAATCCGCCCTGCTCTGTGCATGACAGGGGGCGGCACCCCAACTCCCCAATCAGCCCTGCTCTGAGCCCAACCAGGGGCTGCACCTAGGGATTGGGCCTGCCCTCTGCCACCCAGGAGCAGGCCTAAGCCAGCAGGTCGTTATCTCCCGAGGGGTCCCAGACTGCGAGAGGGCACAGGCCGGGCTGAGGTACCCCTCCCCTCCCCCCCCCAGTGCACAAATTTTTGTGCACCGGGCCTCTAGTTGTGGCATATAACCTCAAAGTAGCAGCTATTATTTTTTCCCCAACTTTACTGAGGTATAACTGACCAAAAAATTGATACACTTAAAGTGTATACCATGATGATTTGAAATATATATATATCTGAAATGATTTACCACAATCAGGGTAATTAACACAGTCATCACCTCACACAGTTACTGTGTGTGTGTGTGTGTGTGGCGAGAAAGCCTTAAACTCTACTCCCTTAGCAAATTTCAAGTATACAATACAGTACGTATTATGCTGTGCATTCGATTCTTAGAACTTAGTCATCTTGTAGTTGAAAACTTATACCCTTTACCAGCATCTCCCCAAAGTAGTAGCTATTAAATTGAGAGAAAGAGATTTGGTAAAGAAAAGTAGAGAAATAAGGCAGCTTTTAGAACTGTGTCTCCAGAGGGAATATTGTTGGTGCTTCAACCATTACTCTTGGATATTTATCCACCTTTCTGGGGCACTCCCCTTGCACCAAGTTTCACTGGGCTTTTACATTCAACAGCCAGGATCTGCAGCTCTTCTTTAGAGAACTACACTTAGGCCATTGAAGTCACTTTGCCTGCCTTCACAGAGACTGGAAGTACCTGGGGATTTCTATGCCCTTAGGGACAGCTCTTAACCAAGGACTGATATGTGCAGGACTGTGAAAGCTCTAATTCCCCTGACTTAGATGGCAACAACTTTGAGGCATAAGTTACACTCCAGAATTCCCCTATAGAGTCAAGCTGACGCTACCCTCTGGGTTTTGTCTAAAGTTGTACCCTTGCCTGTGTGCATATTCAACTATTACTCAAGCTCCAAAGTCACCCTTCAGCTTTCTGATGCTTGTGTCTGGGAATCTTCAAACCAATTTTTTGCTTCGCCAGCTGCTCCCTGTTTTGTTCTGCTAATAGAGAACACTAAAGGGAGACTGCAAGGCTGTAGGAGGAAGAAGGGATTGCTCCTTCCTGTTTACTTCTAATTGCTTTATGTTCCTAATGAGGAATAGTGAAGAAAAAAAATGAGTCACTATAGTAAAGCTGCTGAATTACTAAAATCAAGTAGATTGAGGCATGAGGAAACGATTCTGTTCTTGTTTTAACTAGCCTGGAAACTTCCCAATCCTATGTCAAAGCCTGGGTATACATCAAACCTCCATATAACCCTCTATTTACCCCTCAAAGCGGGTAAGTGGGCATCATCTAATCTGTTGAGAGCCTGAATAGAACAAAAAAAGGCAGAGGAAGGGTGAATTTGTTCTCTCTGTTTGAGCTGGACGTCCACTTTCTCCTGCCCTCAGATATCAATGCTCTTGATTCTTGGGCCTTTGGCCTCAGACCAAGACTTATACCACCAACTCCCCTGGTTCTCAATCTTTGGATTTGTACTGAATTATACCACTGGCTTTCCTGGTTCTCTAGATATATATATGGAGATTTATTATATATAATATATAAATATGTAGAGAGAGGTTTATAATATTTTATATATGTAATTTTGCCTTTCTCATTCTTCTCACTTCCTAACAAGAGTGTCTTGTACAGTTATTCTTCTTCACTTCTACCATTATATATTGGGTATAAGTCTGGTGGGCAGAGTAGATTGCTTGTCTTTTTAGTTCAGAGGACATCAAACCAAGAGAATTCACATCTAGATCTGATGGAAAGATCTGTGCACCATCTGGGATTTTAAACAGATGTAATGACTCATGGGCCTTTAGGCTATATCCTTTGGAGATGGATTACTACTGTAAGGGAACAGGAGAAAAACTGATATTTGGGGCCAGAAGAGTGGATCAAGGCAGAGACAATTACTTAATTTCCTCCTTTGAACATTTTCCATTCCTCTCCCATTCAAGTGGCCGTATATAATTGGTTCAGGTCAATGGGAGGTCATCAGAAGCAATTTACACCAATGCTTCTTGAAAGTGTGGTTCAGAGAATAGTATCATTCTATGACTTGTTTCTGGTCCATAACATGGTAAATACAGCAAATCAAAGTGTTTAGAAACTTTTATAGAAATTTGATGTTCTAACATTTTGATTGTTTTTTACAAAAGTAATAATCTGCAACAGGATGGAAGGTCTTCTGTTTTTTTATTTTTATTTTTTTATATGCCAGGGGAGAGCACAAATGCAGTCTCCTACTACCTCAAATTATGCAGTTGAGTTTCCCACAATTGGGGGAGTCACAGGGGTCAGCACATCAGGAGTGCAATGGATAAGGCTCATCCTGGGAAAACCACCTTCATGATTATGGTATCTCCCCTGCCAGGTAAGTATTGGGTTTTTTTAAAGTGGTCCTTTGCTACAGATAGTTTGAGAAGCCATATTCAAACTTCTATCCTGACCTCTAAACCCTCAACATTCTTTCAAGATCTTTTTGTTCTTCATTTGGCTAGGTACAGAGGATCCATGAGGGTATTTTGAAGGCCTAGAAGATGGTAGAAGTAACCTGGGTAGAAGTAACATGGGGCTTCTGAATGATGATGGAAGAGAAACACCTCCCCCACCAAATACAACAATCTATACTAGACTATGAGGTGAGTAAGAAATAAACCTTAAAATGTTAAATCACTGAGATTTTGGGGTTATTTGTTTGAGTAGCTAGTATTAGTTACCTAAATATGTTGTTACTGAATTTTCCTATGACATTGACTTTAACCTCTGTACTCATGATTCCTGAATTTAGATCTTCAGAGCACATCCCTCTGAAAAGCCTTAGAGTGATATATCCAATCACATGCTCAATAATCCTATTTGGATGTTTTACAGGGTCTAAAAAGTCAACATTTCTAAACCTTAATCTATTATGCTCCTATTTTTTTTCCTTCTCTATTCCATTTTGTTGAGCCATATCGCCATCCCTCTGATTGTCCAACCCTGAAACGTCGGTGTAATCTCAGTTTACCATAACCAGTCAACCCTGTACTAAGTTCTGATGATTCTATATTCTTTACATCTTCCTAAGCTATTTCCTTCACTTGATTTGTTCCTCTACTCTATCTCAAGTGAGAAGATCTTCTATTGTATACTCCTGGAATTACTTCCTCATAAAATCACCTTTTAAAAAGCAAATATAAGTATGTACTACCCATGCTTTAAAAATACATCATTTTTTTACATAGTCCTTGAGATAAAATTCATGCTCATTAACATAGTGTACTAATACTATGGATTGGATATTTCAATCTCCATTCTACTCTCCTTCTAATTGGAGATTATGGAAAGCTAAAAGCTATATTTCCCATAAAGCCTTGCCACAGAGTTGTAGATGTGGTTGGTTCTGCCAATCTGATGCACTTGCACTAAATTTGGAAGATGAAAATGAAGTAGAAGCTGTCTTCTGTTATTATAGCTACTATTGGCAAGCACGATTATGAAAATGTGAGTGTTAGAGGCAATTGCAGTGGAGTAGCTAAGTTCTGGTATCTACTCACCAGTTCCATGGATGTGAGAGCAATTGAGGCAACATCAATGGCAGCAGCAGCAGCTTCCTGACCCCTAGATCTCAGCTATGAAATCATAGCAGTCCCTTGACTTCTATTCCTCCAGCCCTTCCACTAATATTTTATGTATTAAATACCTTTCTAAAATACCTAAAGTAGTTTCTATTTTCTACATACACATCCTGACCAATTAACATAATATACAAGGCTTTTCATGATCTGGTCCCCATTTTTCTTTCTAATCTCATGATGCTCTTTCCCACTGCCACTCCATACACATCCACCTCCATACATTGTAGCTGAGCCATGCTGACCTACTTTCAGATCGTCAAATGTGCTGTTTTCCTTATTCATGTTACCTGTCTTCAACTTTCTAACTCATTTATTCAAGATTCAACTTGAACCTTACCAACTCTGGAAAGCCTTTGTAATATCTCTGCTCTCATCTGTGGGCTTGTAGTTGAAATTTCTCATTCTTTTTTATTTTATTTTTTTGCCACATAGCATCTGAGTTCATTACGTATGTTTGAGACAATCCCCATTCTTATGGGGCAGAGATTTCCACCTTTGTAGAAACTGGATATGCCAGGTTCTTGCTTTTCCACCTTCCTTGTGTTAGGAATGTGCACATGATCTAGGATCTGCCAATAGGACACATCTACTCCAGATTATGAATTAGAAGCTAATGGCATGAAAAAGCCTGTGGGGTGTGTGTGTGTGTGTGTGTGTGTGTGTGTGTGTGTGTGTGTGTCTTTGTGCGTGTGCACATTTGCATAACTTTAACAATGTGTGGCAGTAGAGAAATCACCTTACCCAGTTTCTACAGTGCCAGTAATTGTAGCAACAGTGGTGTGGGCGGTGTGAGCTTGAGTGTTCATGCTACTGGCAATAACAACAGTGTCCTCTCCAGTCTAGTTCTGTGTGATTTTGGAAGTTATTCCTGACTGCATAGTCTCTAAGATTGGTTTTCAAGACTTCCAGGAGACTTTAGGGGCTAAGAACTCCTAAATAAATTCCTTTTCTGCTTAAATAAGGCAGAATCTGTTTCTATTGCTTACAAACCAAGAACTTTGATTTACATAATATTCTTCTCGCTCTCTCCCATTGCACTTCACATGTGTGAGTTTGGGTTGTTGTTCAGCAAATATTTCCCCCTGTTTACTCTAAGTATACTTTTCTGCTCTATTTGTGTTGTGCTTGATTATAAATTTTGCTTTAGCCAATGAAATGTCAGCATTTGTAATTTAAACAAAGGTTTAAAATATGCTTGGATGTTGCACTCCAATAACAAGAAGAGCATATCCCAGGTAGCTGGTGATTATTCAGCCTGGGGCCCAGAGTGAGACACAAGAAGCAAATCACATACTTCAAGCAGCCACTGATTCAAAGACAAGGGACACCTGGAGCCACCCTGAACCTGATCTTCATTGTCAAGCTCAGAACCTGGAGCCTAGAGTCTCTCACAGACCTATGAGCAGGGGAATACACTTGCTATTTTAAGTCACTGCATTCTTTTTATTGTTTTAAATTGAGGTAGAATCGACATAAAACATTATATTAGTTTCAGGTGTACAATATAATGATTCAGTATTTGTATATATTGCAAAATGATCACCACAATAGGTCTAGTTAACATCTATTATTATACATAGTTACAAAAAGTTTTTTTCTTGTGATGAGAACTTTTAAGATTTATTCTCTTAGTAACTTTCAAATATGCAATACAGAATCATTAACTATAGTCACCATGCTGTACATTTCACCCTCATAACTTATTTATTTTATAACTGAAGTTTGTACCTTTTGATTTCCTTTGCTCATTTTGCCTCCACCCCTGGCTCTGCCAACCACCAATCTAGTCTCTGTTTCTATGAGTTTAGTTTTAGAGTTCAGATATCATTGAGATAATACAATATTTGTGTGATTTATTTCACTTATCATTATGCCCTCAGGGTTCATTCCTGTTGTCACAATTTTATTCCTTTTTATGTCTAAACTAGAGGCCCAGTGCAAGAATTCATGCCTGGCCTGCAGGATTGGGCCGAAACCAGCTCTCTGACATCCCCCGAGGGGTCCCGGATTGTGAGAGGGCGCAGGCCAGGCTGAGAGACCCCATCGGTGCATGATCAGAGGGACGCAGGAGGTTGGCCAGCCAGGGAGGGACCGCAGGAGGGCTCCAGGGCATGTCCAGCTCGTCTTGTTCAGTCCCAATTGGCTGGAACCTAGCAGCAAGCTAACCTACCAGTTGGAGCGTCTGCCCCCTGGTGGTCAGTGCACGTCATAGGGACTTGTTGACTGTCTGCCCCGTGGTGGTCAGTGCATATCATAGCGAGTGGTTGAGTGGCCTTAGCATATCATTAGCATATTATGCTTTGATTGGTTGAACGGATGACTGGACACTTAGCATATTAGGCTTTTATTATCCTACTAGAGGCCCTGTGCACAAAAATTTGTGCACTCAGCGGGGGGGTCCCTCAGCCCGGCCTGTGCCCTCTCTCAGTCTGGGACCCCTCGGGGGATGACCACTTGCTGGCTTAGGCCTGCTCCCCGGGGGATTGGGCCTACGATGGCAATCAGACATCCCTCTGGCAGCCCGGCAGCCCTTGGGGGATGTCCACTTGCGTGGGGAGCAGGCCTAAACTGCAGTCGGACATTCTTAGCGCTGCTGAGGAGACAGGAGAGGCTCCCACCACCACCGCTGTAATGGTACCCATCAGCCTGGCTTGTGGCTGAGCAGAGCTCCCCCATGTGAAAGCGCCCTGACCACCAGAGGGCAGCTCCTGCATTGAGCGTCTGCCCCCTGGTGGTCAGTGTGTGTCATAGTGACCAGTCATTCCCAGTCCTTCTGCTGTTAGGGTCAGTTTGCATATTAACCTTTTACTATATAGGATAGAGGCCTGGTGCACGGGTGGGGGCCGGCTGGTTTGCCCTGAATGGTGTCCCAGATCAGGGTGGGGGTCGCGCTTGGGTGCCTGGCCAGCCTGGATGAGGGGCTGATGGCTGTTTTCAGGCTGTCCACACCCCCTTCAGGGTGGGGGTCCCCAATGGGGTGCCTGGCCAGCCTGGATGAGGGGCTGATGGCTGTTTTCAGGCTGCCCACACCCCCTTCAGGGTGGGGGTCCCCACTGGAGTTCCTGGCCAGCCTGGATGAGGGGCTGAGGGCTGTTTTCAGGCAGGCCAAGCCTGCAACTGAAGCTCTGAGTCTCTCCTTTTTTTCTTTTTTTTCTTTTTATTCTGGGATTTATTTACCTTCTGTAATTGAAACTTTGTTGCGGCTCCAGCTCTGAGGCCGGCTGGCTGAAAGCAGGTTTCTGGGTTTGTTTAGCTTCTATAACTGCAACATTGTTGCTTAGAGTGCAGCTCAGAGCCCGGCTGCGGCAGGCAGGGAACCTTGACTTCCTCCATCACTGGAGCAAGCAAGCCTCCTGTTCACTTCAGCTGCCTGGCTGCCGGCCGCCATTTTGGTTGGCAGTTAATTTGCATATCGCCCTGATTAGCCAATGGGAAGCGTAGCGGAGGTATGGT